ATGTTGTATTGTCTTTAAATTGTCTCAACATATTTTTTTTAATATCGAATTTCAAGTACTAGTAATGAAAAATATTTTTTTGTGTAAACTGGCAAAATGGTAGTGACATGCTCAGTATATTTTTCAATATTTTTACTCAATTTCTTGCAAACCTTGCAAAAGCCATGCCCTTTTTTAAAACCTTGCTCATAAAGAATTATACAATAGCACATTGATCATCATACTATATATACTACTATAAATAGTACAAGTGTGGCATTAACTTTGAAGATGGCTTGCTCCAAAGAGCAATGACAATTACTACAAGAGAGCAATTTGTTGGGAGAAAAGACGTTTATGCCCCCCACCACGGGGCTTCGCCCGTCCTGAAATCAGTGTCAACCCAGGGAACAAACACAACCTTATCATCAGCATCGATGTTTGCATGAGCCAAGGCCAACGACTGTTCCAAGAAGAAGAAGAAGATCAAGCACGGTTACGAGTCCGTTTGGCAATCTTTAGCTATTACGCAGTACTATGTGAAAAAGGGTAAATGACGCTTTTACCCTTAAGGAGAGTTGACTTACCAAAGGAGCGGGTCCTCTAACGACTTTCCCTTGGTTGTTGTATTGAGAGCCATGGCAGGGACACATGAATTTGTTCTCAGCTGCATTCCATGGCACCACACAGCCAAGGTGTGTGCACACTGCATTGATGCCATATGTTGCTAAACTCCCGTCGTCCTCCACGACAAGGTAAGTCGGGTCTCCCTAAAGTGTACCACCATCAAAATGATACATATATAACACTATTACCTCACTTGCTACAACAAAAACAACAATAAACAAACAAATCTAGTAGAATTCCACAAAAAGTAAGTTCTTTTGGACTTTGGTACATTGTTTTTTTGTTCGTGTGGGATTCTTTTGGTACATTCACTATCTTGTGGATTCACCTGAATTTGTTGTAAAGAAAACTAGACTCTACAAATAGCCGAAGAATAACCTACCTTCAACCCTTGAGTGAGGGTTCGATTCCCAGGCCCATGGTTCTTTAGCCACACAGAAGCAACAACGTCATTCCCAGCAGCATCCTTTGCAAGGGTGCCACCGCCTCCGCCTCCTGACCTGATCTCAATGTAGTATAATAAGCATACGATCATACAACATCAAAACAAAATGTACACCAAAGAACCCAATGGAGTTGTACACCAAACAATAAGAAAAAGCAAAACGGACGCTTCATTCTTTCTAAAATTGGGGCACAATTCCCTACATATCGACCCCCACGAACCCAATGAAGGTTGGATTATACCATGTCTTGTTGCTGTTGTTGACTTTCCCCCCCCCAAAACGGGATGCGATAATAATATCGCAATCTCACATTTCATGAGCTAAACACCCTCTAATGTCAGCCATAACAATGTTGTCTACTACTAGCATCCCAGTTAGACCAAAATTGGGATCCTTTCTTCCTAATACAACGCATCAATGTTAAAATGAAGAAATCGATACAAAAATGTTTCTCTCAGAAAGTATTTAAGTACACATAACCCTTGAAGGATACAATCTTTAAATCTCAATACTCCAAAAAATGTAAGAAATTCTAGATTTCACAAGAATAATTATCACTGGCACTCCTAGAAATTCAATATTTTTCCAATAATTTAAAAAATAAATATAGAAATGGAAAAGGGAGATACCTGGGAGGTACAAAGAAGAGAGCATAAGGTACAACCATCGCAGCAGTAGGGAGGGAAACGGCACCTAAAAGAAGCAAGTTCATGAATTTCCTCTTACCCATATCCGGCACTCTATCGCTCGCCGGAATACTGGTGGCCATGGCCGTGACTCTCAACCCCTTCTTCCTCCGGCCGCCGAACTTGCCGGATCTCGCCGTCACTGCTTGGGAGGCAGATAAAGCGCGGTTCTGGGTCGACCATATCTGAACAGATAAAAACTTTAGGTCAAAAAAAATAGAAGAATTCTAGAGTGAAATTGGAGCGAGAGAGATGGAGAAGAAAAGCACCCGAGAATGAGTGATGGGTGAAAGTGATGAAGTGGCCATGTGCTTTTGCAGGGATTTCTTTTTGAGAATGAGATCGGAGCTGCTAATTCTGAAGAAAGATGGCCGGAGAAGAAGCGGAGATTAGAGATTTGGATAAGGTAATTTAGCCCCTTACATCCACCACACATTTGGAATTTTGGATAGGAGAGGCACATGTTTTTATTACAAAAAATTGCTGCTAGGTACCCCTAATTTTGGGATAAAGATTAGCAGGTCTCATTGTTTTTTAAAATATACTCTGAGGTACCTTAAGATATTCGAAAACTGACTCCGGGGTGACAATCCGTCATTCTCTCCGTTAACATTTCTTCTCCGTTATCCTCCTCCTCCTCCTCTTCTCAAAAAATTGCTGCCAGGTACCCCTTATTTTCGGGAAAAGACAAGCAGGTCCCATTTTTTAAAAAATTTACTCATGGGAATTTAAAATATGATGTTTGTGACTAAAGAGGGAACTTACGTATCATTTATAAAATTAAAATTATTTATTCACTTGGTTATAAATTATACGTCGTAATTCATAATAATATTAAATTTAATAATATTTTTATTGTTTCATATTATCTTTACAAGACATATTAAATTTAACACTATTTTTATTGTTTCATTTTATTCTTTTTTCAAGTACTCTTGTTTTCTCGATTTACCATGACACCATTACCAATGACGACTATCAATGACTAATGCGGAGTACTATTTTTCTAAATAATAATGATTGTTACTCCGTATTTCTTAAAAATAGAGTAATAAAATTACTACTCTGCAATTAACTTTTAATAATAATTAAGGAAATAATAGGAAATACATAATATTATCAATTTTGACCAAAAAAACAAAAGTAGACAAATACTCTAGAACAGAGGAGTAATTAATATGAAGTAATAATAATAACTAGTGGTATTTTTTAAAAA